AAAAAAAAAAAAAAATACAGTTCTCACTAGAGGAAGATATATAATTATGCACATTTAATGAGCAAGCGAGTTTACTAAGTGTTACCTTACAGCTCTCAAATACTATTGCCACTTGCCCGACTAAGGACCTTTATGATAACATGGGTCAAAATTTCCATTTGGTACCTAAAAATTCAAAATGGGTATTCTTCCTGCCAAGATAAATCTGGTCTGGACTTAACAGGATTTGCTGTGTGATTTGTACATGCTCCTTAGCAAAGCTTGCTCTTAAGTTAGGCTGACATATAGATACAGAAAACGATTCAATGGTACACACCTGTACTGATTTGTTAAATACTGAAATCCCACTACACTGGTTGGTAACTAGCTACTACACTGAGTCCTGCTAGTGACTAAACAGATTTCCCCACAATCCAGCAACTAACAGTTAATACCATGTTTCCCTGAAAATAAGACCTACCCCCAAAATAAGCCCCAGCAGGATTTCTATGCATTTGTTAAATATAAGCCCTACCCCAATAATAAGACCTAGTGATGGGTGTGGCTATGCAGATATGCTGAATAGCCATGCATTTCGGTGTGGAGAGAGACATCCCTCTACTCTCACATGACTCTTTGAATAAATTCATATACACCAATGACTTTAAGCAGAAACATTTTTAACAGAAAAAAATGAATCATTATGTAAATTGTTAGTGCCTGAGCAGTGCTTATAAATGTTAAGGCTATCTATAAAGCAGTGGTTCTCAACCTGTGGGTCGTGACCACTTTGTAACAATGAAAATACATCCTACATATCAGACATTTACATTATGATTCATAAACAGTAGCAAAATTACAGTCATGAAGTAGCAACGAAAATAATTTTATGATTGGGGGTCACCACAACATGAGGAACTGTATTAAAGGGTCATGGCATTAGGAGACATTAAGAAGGTTGAGAACCATTGCTATAAAGGATGCAAAAGTATAGCTCCAAGAAACATCAATTACACACAGCAGCTGTTTAAAAGTGCTTCCATCTCTAAAACACTTCTCAGTAGAGGAAAATCTGAGAAAGTGAATTAAGCCTTTAAGGAAGGAAGAGAACATGAATCAGGTCTGAAAACTGAAACCTGTGCTTGATGGGACTAAGAACTAACAGTCAACAATCTACTTAAACTCAAATACTTCAATACAAACTCTTTAAAATGCTGTGGAAAAAGAAAGAAAAAGGTCCACACACATCATTTCTGCTACAGACAGTAATGAGGCAAATTTTGCTAAGTAATCTTCTTAGAAGACATTTTTTAGCTGCACACATGAACTAATGGATTCCAGGTTTTGAATGTCTGACACTTCCCTTTCAGGCAATGAGACCTGAATATCTTTCAAATATTTTTATATTGATTTGATAAAAAATAAATACACATACAATTTGTTATCACCAAAGAAAATTAGAAAATAAGGTGGAGTATTTCTACCCTCAATGACTTTTTTCCTTTTTAAGTTAAAGAATTGGAAGTCTTCCATCTCCATGCCTAACTCCTTCTATCAGCCTATCTCCTAGAAGCAATCATAATTAAGTATATATTTGTTCAAATGTTCCCTTATACAGATATAATTATGATATATTGATTAATCTGTGATTATGTATATACAGTAGAGCCTCCATAGTTGACCACCTCCCTCCATTTACCACCTACCTCTTTAAAATTGACTAATTTTCATAGACTAGACATGTACCATATGTATGTATCAGTACAAGAGGACTAGTTCCTTACATTGACCACCTCCATATGTTGACCAGTTGGTTACAGTCCTTTGTATGGTCAAGTTACAGGATATTCATATACTTGTAATATCACTTATGTTGGCTGGGTAACATTTGAACAACAATTTGAGTAAAGTGTAAAAATAAGACAGGCCTGGCTTGGCACCTGTGGCTCAAGTGGCTAAGGAGCCAGCCACATACACCTAAGGTGGCAGGTTCGAATCCAGCCTGGGCCCGCCAAACAATAATGATGGCTGCAACCAAAAAATAGCTGGGTGTTGTGGCGGGCACCTGTGGTCCCAGCTACTTGGGAGGCTGAGGCAGGAGACTCGCTTGACCCCAGGAGTTGGAGGTTGCTGTGAGCTTTGATGCCATGGCACTCTACTCAGGGGGACAGCTTGAAGCTCTGTCTCAAAAAGAAAAAAAAAATAAGTCAGGCCAACATGTAGGGGGAAGAGAATTTCACAAAAGGGAGGAGAAAATACAAAAATTCACAGACATGAGAGAGCTTGGCAGGTTTAAGGAACAGCAAGTTCTCAAGTATGATTGGAGGAGAGAGAGGTAGACTTGTAGAAAATGAGGTCTGGGGTAGCCAGGAACTGGAGTATATAGGGCCTTACAGGGCATGGTAAGGATGCTGAATTTCATTCCAAGTAAGATGGGAAGCCAATCTTCTGGGTAGGGGAATGAAAGAATGGGCCTCATCACAGTCTCTTCACAGATTTCATTTTCTACCACAGCTTTCTTCAAATCATCCACCCTCTTCAAATCATCACTCAACATCTGTTATGGACCCTCACTGAATATTTCAACTTCTTATATCTGACTCAGTCACTAGTGACATATCCATTTCACTTTCTTCCCTTAGCCTCTTTTTCTTCATCTATAAAATGAGCAACTTGGACAAGATTATCCATAATTTTCTTCCTGGCTTTATTATTTTTTTATTTAAAACAAGAGTCTTACTCTGTTGCCTGGATTAGAGTGTAGTGGAATTATTATAACTCATTAGCAACCTCAAACTCCTAGGTTCAAGCAGTCCTTTTGCCTCAGCCTCCTGAGTAGGTAGGTAGGATTACAGGTCTGTTCCACCACAACCCAGCTAACTCTGGCTTTATCATTTTACAAGCCTAGATCTGTGCTGTCCAATACAACAGCTGGCTATTTACATGTAGATCATTAACATTAACAATACAGTTCCTTAGTCATGCTAGCATGTAAAACTCTTCGCAGCCATATGTAGTTAGCGGCTACTGCATTAGACAGTGCAGGTACAGAATATTTAAATCATCAATAACCAGGAAGTTCTACTGGACATGGCAACACTAGTTGATTCCTCATCTCCTTCATCTTCCTCTTTACCATCATTCTCTATATTTCACTTAGCAGGGTTTTTTACATATATATATATAACCTATAGAATGTACTTAAACTCTATGTATTTTCTTCTATAAATGAGGAAAATTATTTTTCTATATGAATAATCCATCCCTTAAAACTATGGTTCTCAACCTTCCTAATGCCATGGCCCTTTAATACAGTTCCTGTGGGTCACGACCCACAGGTTGAGAACCACCGTCTTAAAATAATATAAGTTTATTATTATATCATAAGCAAACCAGTAGACACTAAATTCTATGAAGACAAAGTCTACTGTTATTTACCACAGCACTTAGTATGGTCTGTAATAACTATGTGTTTCGTGAATGAATAAACATTTTCCATTCTTATGGAATTCTTATACTTGCATTTCTTTCTCCACATTATATGCTGATCTTTATATGTTTCTTCTGGCTCCCATTCCAAACTATTTACTGTGTTCATTATTGTTGATTTGTACAGTTTAAAAAAATGTAAATTTTGGCTCAGCACCTGTAGCTCAGAGGCGAGGGCGCCAGCCACACACACCAGGGCTGGTGGGTTTGAACCCAGCCCAAGCCTGCCAAACAACAATGACAACTACAACAAAAAAAATAGCCAAGCGTTGTGGCAGTACCTGTAGTCCCAGCTAAATCGGAGGCTGAGGCAAGAGAACTGTTTAAGCCCAAGAGTTAGAGGTTGCCGTGAGTTGTGACGCCATGACACTCTACCGAGGGTGACATAGTGAGACTCTGTCTCAAAAAAAAAAAAAAAAATGTAGATTCTACTCATTACTCTCTTTTTCAGTGTCCTGCTATTTTTCCATTTTAACTCCCTTAATCTTACTGGATGACCTAGAATATCATAACTTTTGCTTGCTATTAACTCAGGATATCCCTAAACTGAGTCCTCCTTGTTCCCACAGAATCCTACTATATATCCTATTCCTCAAAATCACCTTGAGCAAGAGACGTTCCCATATTCTTTTTTTTCTTTTGAAAGCGAGTCTCACTCTGTAGCCCTGGTTAGAGTGCCATGACATCATAGTAATCTCAAACTCCTGGGCTTAAGTGGATCCCTCTTGCCTCAGCCTCCCAAGTAGCTGGGACTACAGCTGCCTTCCACAACACCCAGCTAGTTTTTCTATCTTTAGTAGAGACAGGGTCTCACTCTTGCTCAGGCTCGAACACCTAAGCTTTAAGCAATCCACCCACCTTGGACTCCCAAAGTGAATTTCAACATGTGTGAACCAGTTCACCCAGCCAACCTTGCTATATTCTGTGACAAAGACAACCTACCTGTCTTGCCTTCCCTTCTAACCTCAGTCTGTGGAAAAGCTCTATGCCAGCATTTAAATCTGAACATATGTCTTGACCCTCAATGAATGAATCAAGTTACCACAATGAAGGCTTGTATATCCCAATGCATGTATTTTTGCATCTTGAGAGTTCCTAATACTGAACCCATAGGAGGTACTGAACTATTTTCTTGAATGAAAATGAAAATACTTCCTATAGAAATAAAGGAAGATCGCTTGGCTTTTTGGGATATCCTTTTCCTGGAAAGGAGGACATGAGAAACAAGTCACTGGATGAATGGAATTTTGTTAGGCTGGGGAATTTTGGAAAAACAGCAAAATATTCATATACCCTGAAAAATAAGATGGTGTATCAAGGAAGAGAGAAGAAATGATTCCTTACCTGGGACATGGCTTTCTCTTTAAGAATTTATGATTTCTATCCTCCTCCTTCAGGCTCCTTTCTGAGATAAGAGTAGTATCCTGAGAAAGTAGAGCTGGAGAAGGAAAAAGAAATCATAACATGCCAAGCCTGCCCTTGTTACTCCCAGCATTACCAGCCTACCCCACTCTCCTTCTCTTTCCCCTTCTCCCTACACCATCTAAGTAGATAAGAAGAGTCACTAAACAAGTCATTCATATCTAAATTTACAATTCTTTTCCCATGTGCTGTAGGTCTTTTTTTTTTTTTT